AAAAAGAGGGAAGCCTAGCTGCTAAACCATATATGCTTCTAGGGTTTTCTGTTTACACCATATTATATCCATAAGTTAATTAAAGGGAAAATTTCAAAACTAGTCCCACAGGTATAGGAGGTGACAATTTTGGTCCCGATGGAATGCAGAAAATATGAATAGTCCCACAACTTTTAAAAAATGATCAAAAGTAGGACTTTTTTGCCGGATTTACTATTTCCGGCCGGGAACGCCACGTGGCATCCGACGTGTTCATATTTTTTTACAAGTTGTGTGACTAGTTTTGAATTTTCTGCATTCCATCGGGACCAAAAATGTGACTCCTCTATACTTGTGGGACTAGTTTTGAATTTTTTCCTATCTAAGAAAAAATTCAAAACTAAGCCACGTGTGCGCCATGTGTGCGCCAGCGTGTAAAAAATAAGCCACGTGTGCGCCACGTGGCGTTCCGGGCTGAAAATAGTAAATCCGGCGAAAAAGTCCTACTTTTGATCATTTTTTAAAAGCTGTGGGACTATTCATATTTTGTGCATTCCGTCGGGACCAAAATTGTCACCCCCTTATATCTGTGGGACTAATTTTGAATTTTTCCCGTTAATTAAATATACATTTGGAAGAAAAATAAAATAAAAATAAATAAATTCATTTTTTATTTACTTTCATTGCTTCTTCTTCTTAAGATTAAATGGGAAACACAACATGTGTATGTGATGTATATGTAATTAGTTTGGGGAAAAAACAAAAACAAAAATTGTGATTAGGCCATGTTTCCTCTTCAATATATCTAAACAATTTATCAACATACATCTAGGGTTCAAGCTTATAAATGAGCTCAAATTAGGATTATTCAACTTTCTCCTCTATAATTCTTCAAGCATAAAGGTATAAGTGTCAAACTAGAATATAAATCATGCAGTTCAGTTTCTTCACCTGTGCAAATTTTGAGTAAAAGAAAAAACTGAAATACAAATTTTCCCAATTAAACAGAATAACATATATGTCATATTGTCATGCATATCTAGTCTGAAAGAACACTGAGTGCTTTAAGATGGAAGAAACACTTCATGTCAGATATATTAAATCACCTGTAACTGTTCATGATCTCTCCAATTTAATTTCCAGTTTAGGCTTTCAAGATTCTCTATGTATGAATTTATAAATTTATTTTGTACATGGCCAGATATATAACATTTATTCATCATCAGGTGCAGTCCTGCAACTATTATTCATTTCAAATTTACAAATTTCCATTTCTGGCTTTCAAGATTCTCTTGATCAGAAAAAAAAATCTATGATAAAGTTTTAGGAAAAATCCAAATTAAATTTCAGGTATTTTCTTGATTGGAGACCTTTTGGGACAAAAACCAAGTAGCCCACCTTTGATTTTGATTGCTTCCTTTACTTNCTTATGGACATTTGATTTCAAATGTCCACTCTATTTTCTCTCTTTCAGTTAATCCCTTGGCTTTTAAGTCAATAGATATATTTATAAATCTTTTGCCTGATGTGTAATTTAAATGTTTGATCATCACAATAAAATGAAAAGAACACACCTTTTCACATGTTTTTATTTTACAAATTCAATCTTCAAGGGATACTTTGCAAGTCTAAAATATGAGTAAACAATTAATTTATTATACCTTATTAAAATTTTAATTGTATTTCAACATGTCTAATTGTATATTTAATTTTGTACAGCATCAGATCAACCATTGAAAGGTACAAGAAAGCCACTGCAGACAGTTCAAGTGTGTACACCTCTCAAGAAATCAATGCTCAAGTAAGTTACACATTTGATTTAATGTAAATTTTGCAATTTCTCATGTATCATAGGAAAAAGTGTTTTTTGGTAAGAAAAATCATCTAAATAGCAAAATCATAATAAATCTTTTCTTGACTTACTCAGACTACGAGAAGTAACAGACCAATTTTCACCCCAGTATTGTAAATACAAGTGTCATCATTTTTATTTTTCTTAATTTGTCATTTTCACTTTTTATTTTTTTGGATTATTTGCAGTTTTACCAACAAGAGTCCAAGAAGCTGCGTCAGCAAATACAGATGCTCCAAAACTCCAACAGGTAGTCACTAAAATTTTCAAATTATGACAACTTTTGCATGCATATATAATATGCTATAATTCAAGACAGTGTAAAAATTGAAAAATGAAAAATGAAAAATTTTCCAATATACAAAGCTGATTTCGCTTTAATTGCTGTTTTGGTGTGTATTTACAGCTAATAAACTACAGAGTTGCATTTGAAATTTTTTTGCAACAAGTCTAAAAGAGTAGAATTTATGAAGGTTGGTTAATTAGGCACAACACAAGTACAATAGAAGACAAATGATGTAATAAAAAACATTAGCAATGCCAAAAAAAAAAGAGCAAAAAAAACACTAATTTAATGATTCTGAACACTCTTTTTCACAACCACAGGCATCTTGTGGGTGAGGGACTGAGCTCACTAAATGTCAAGGAACTGAAGCAGCTCGAAAGCCGTCTCGAGAGAGGCATCGCTAGAATCAGGGGCAAGAAGGTAAATAAACACGACCCTCGATCCATTTTCTTATTTAATCCTTACTTCAACATTTGAACCATAATATACTATTTCTTACTCTGTCCAACTTATGGTGCTATTCTTTTTTTCTTTTTTTTTTCCCTATTAAACAGCATGAAATGATACTAGCTGAGACTGAGAACTTGCAGAAGAGGGTATATTTGTTCAAATCTTAATTCTTGATTATTGTTTATATTACTATAATTTATCCGTACACAACAAAATTTTATAATTTTCGACATTTTTAATTGTACAGGAGATTCAGCTGGAGCAGGAAAATTCCTGCCTCAGAGCTAAGGTAACTAACATTTATGCAAAGTCCAAATTTGTGAAATGTGACATAATTAACTATTACATGACCTCATATATTGTTTCAATTAATAATCATGTCATAATTAGAACTTGCTGATTTTTTCCAGATTCAAGAAAACGAAAAGCTTCAGGAACTTAGCATGATGCCATCTGGACAGGAATTCGCCTTGCAGGCTTATTTCGCTCGTAACATGCTTCAGCTCAATATGATGGAGACTGTATCATCCTATCCCGTGCCTGAAAAGAAGGATCTTCATATCGGGTATCGATTTTTCCTTTTTTTTTTTTCTTCATTGAAATATCATAGATATTAACTAAAGCTCTAACCTTTAGTTCTTTCTTCTTTCACACAGCTAAATCAGTTTTCATCTGAAGATTCATGCAAGAATGAGAGAAAGCCAAATCCAGATTATCGTTTATTATCACCAGTGTTTGTTTGTTTCGTTCAATAATATGTAATAGGGACAATTCGTGTCTCAGTGACATTATTACACGTTATATATCAGACAAGGCTATTTATAATGTGTTTGAACTAAAAAGCTTGCACTTTGTTTCACTTATTATTGTGCAGTCAATTTGCAGAAGGAAATAAAACGAACTTAAAGAAAAAAGGGTGATTGTAACTTGTAAGCAACACGAAAATAAAACTCAAACATAAATCAGCACATTTAAACACCCCACAATGTACTCAAATGATAATATTGGTGATTACATAATAATGCAAGTTGTTTTTCCAGCTTCATTTCGTAACCGATCGGCCTCTATCTTAGCTTTATTCAAATTCTCGTTCGCTTTACGTATTTCTTCAGTTGCCTTTTTGTGAGTGGCTTTGGCTGCCTTTTCTACCTTGAGCCGAGCCGCTTTCTCCTTAGCCAGTTGCTTTTCAAGCTTTTCAGTCTGAACTTTCAGCTTTAGCTCAATCTACATACAGATTAAGATAATAATCTCACAAAAGTGAAAACTTACAAAATCACAATCTATTTTTCAATTTTACAAAAAGATACCATCTCTGTCATTCGCTTGAGCTGCTCTTCGTAAGACTTCATTTTCTCCTGTTCGGATGAATTGACTTCCTCTTGAATGCGCAATTTCTCTGCATTCTTCTGTTAAAAGACCAAAAAGGGTATCCTAATTCAATAAATCATCACTCGCTAACAACCAATCCATGATCAAGATAAACAAATAAAATAAAATAAAATAAAACACTCGCCTGCAGTTCAAAAAGCTCGTGAGTATATGGGTTGCCGTCATTGTATTCCACAACATCGTCAATGAGAGCCAAAAGTTTCTCAAGTTGCTCGTTTTTCTTCCGTTTGTCTGTTGTCCTGTTATCAAAGAGAATGCATCTTTTTCTGCACTTTCCGATAATGTCCTATGCATATATAAATATACATAACACAAAAGTTAATTAATCAACTACATGAACTCAGATATCCAAAATTATACTAATATATATACCTTCAAGGGCTTGGGACACTCGTCACGACCCAAGTAATCGTCAAGAGTCTCCTCGCTTTCTTCCAGGTCATCACCCCCGGTAAAAAGTAAAATCATGTAATCAGTAATTTTAGGACCAAACATTTCAATCATGTTCACGATAACATTCTCCTCTTCACGCGAAAAACGTGACCTTACAGACAGAACAAACAGAACCGCGTGGATACCATCTTTAGCCATATCCACACATTTCACGATTTCCTTCTTTATATGATCTTCACCAGAAAAATCAAATAGCCCTGCAATAAATTTGAAAAAAAAAAAAGGAAAAAAAAAATTAACCAATGTCCACATTTTACAACTCAATCCATGTATAAAAAGCTGAAACAAGCTAGCTGCATATATATATATATATATATACATTACGAAACGAATGTTGGATTATTTGCATTCGTACCGGGCGTATCTATAACGTATAGAAACTGGCATCGGTTTTCAAGAACGGTCGTTTGAAGCTGACAAGTGGCAGTAACACTGCCTGAACTAGACTTGGACTTAAATGCCCTTGTTCCGAGTAAACTATTCCCAGTCGAGCTTTTTCCATTGCCGGTCTTGCCAATTAAAACGACTGTTCGAGCCTCATTCATATTCAATTGAAACTGATCAGCTTCAAATAACACTAATCAGCTTCAAATACTAATTCATCTTAGGCAGTACAAATGTACAAATATGTAAATGTAACATAGCTATAAGAAATATATGAAGGGAAGCAGAGGTCATAAATGTATAGTTTCATAGTACTTCAAAAGTTGTGAAACTCAAAACTCAAAACTCAAAAATGCATGAAAATAATTAAAAACAAGAACACATGAAGGCAATCTTTTGAATGTAAGGTAAGGTACTAAAGGTGCAATTAACCTTCTCTCAAGTTAATGACTGAAATGAACAAGCACTTTGGAAAAGAGGAATTTATTCTACAAGTTAGTTCTGTATGTAGTCAACGTATGTATATGTGTGTGTTTGTAGTGGAATATGAAACGAATATTGTTTTGTTTTTTTATATATAAATAGTTTTTTAAAATGGATCATGATTTTATGAATGACTTACTATGATAGGAGTCAGGAGAAGAAGATGAAAAGATTGCTCAGAAATAAAGATTACTCCTTTCTTGAGAATACCAAAAGATAACTTCTTTAATGTTGTTTCGTTAATTTCTATGTGTTAGTCTGTTCATATGATAAACTCCCTACAAACATTAAGGTTATGTTTAAATAGATAGCTAACAGTTGATTGAAATTGCTAATACTAAATAACTTATATTGGATTAGTAGAGTTGACTAGCCGATTGAAATTAGCTGATAATGCCAAGTGTTTGATAAATAATTAATTGTTTAATATGTAAAAACAACTAAATGTACAATCCTCCACTCCAAGTAGCTCTTCTGAGATTTTTCGAAATTAATTTCATGGATTCAAAAAATTATCTCAAAATTGTTGCTTACCAATAAATTAGTGGTTATAACGGTCAATCCTCTAATTCACCTCAAATCTCTAATTTGGCGTTAATTTGGCCCCCAAAACACGGATCACAAAACAAGACGTAAGTCTAATAAAATATCATATCAAACTTGAATATTTTTTGTGCGGCCCAATACGTACGGGCCCAGCCAATAAATCATATCTGTTTTCACTCAAGCCCATACTTGGCATCAACCCATCAAATTTATTTTCAATTAAAATTTATTTAATAATTTTACGATATTTTATTTAGAACGGTTTATTTTGCCAAAAGTTGCCACTTGCCAGTAGCTAGCAAAGTTCGTTATTTCAGCAGCCAAAGTTCCACTTGCCAGTCCATCTACCACTTATATTAACCACGTTTAAAATAGGTTTGGCAAATCTGACCAACTCACCCAAATCAACTCAACAATTTGTTAAAATAACAATTTTAATATGTTTGCGTATAATGATTTAATATATATTTATTTTTATTGTATATATGTATATATTTTAAAAAATGTAAAATAACAAAAACTAATATATTTTTTATTTATAATTTTTTAATTTTCGAGCTCAAACAAATCGAATTCAAGTTCATTAAACAATTTCAACAATCTTGTCTGCTAAATTGTTCAAATACGGACAAATTCAATGTTTAACAAACAATTTCATGAACGAACTCGAACTTAGTTCTAATGATATATAAACAAACACAAATAAACAATAAACAATGTCAGGTCGTAAATGAAAACGAACTTAAAATGTGCAAGCCCGACTTATTCGATTCGATTATACCATTATCTAATATAATAAAAAATAATTTTCTTTCTTAGACAAATATTTCCAAATCAATTAACAAAATATGAGGTCAATGTGAATAAACGTGTTTTCACGTGTATCTTTCTAAATTCCCCGCATGCTTCTCTTTATTCCTTTTTTCGGTCAACAATTGAAATTTCACCCAACTTTTCAATACCACACGTATATTTTAAGCAAAAAAATATCACCAAAACCATCGGAGCTCCAAAGCCCACAAAAAAAACAAAAAAAAAAAAAAAAAAATGGGCAGCGAAGGAAGACAAAATGGGACTGGCGAGAGGAAACTGAGGCTGTTATGCCTCCACGGTTTTCGGACCAGCGGCGAAATTATCAAGAAACAGGTCACCGGAAAATGGCCGGAATCTGTGCTCGAAAAATTGGATCTTTTCTACGTCGACGCCCCTTTTCCATGCCGGGGCAAATCTGACGTCGAGGGGATTTTCGATCCTCCTTATTATGAGTGGTTTCAGTTCAACAAGGTCCGATTTTTGGCCTTTTTTCTGTTGACGATTTTTTCAGTTTATTTTAATTATTTTCTATACATGTCTTGAGCTTTTTCGTGTGTGTTTTTGTTTGTTGGTTGAATCAGGAATTTTCGGAATATGAGAATTTTGATGAGTGCCTTGCTTACATAGAAAATTGCATGATCAAGAACGGGCCTTTTGATGGCCTTCTTGGTTTTTCACAGGTACATTTTGTATTTTTAATAATCAATGCTATGCTGTTATTGTTCTTACAATTTTAATAAAAATGCTTACTTTTTGTTTGTGGGTATATGTAAGGGAGTGTTTGGGAGAACTAACATAAAAGTAATTCTTAACTTCTGATTATAAAAATCGAGCCTTCATCTTACAGAACATAAGAATCTCTCCTTTTCTTTTTCAGAGATTGCTAGTCTGCTAGTATTTACAGTTCATAATGCTATTTTAGATTTCTGTGCTTCAATTTGGTAGTAAAACTTAGGTGCATGAAACATTATATTTACCAAATCATGTTCTAATTTTGGTTCGATTTTCATACAACTCAGGGAGCAATTTTATCAGCTGCCTTACCTGGACTACAAGCCAAAGTAAGTCATGGCTTCCTTCATTTTTGTATGTGGCTAGTTTTTTTTCTTACTCGGGCCACTTAGCAAAAGAAAGAAAAATAAATTAGTTGTTTTTTATTTAATTGTTAAGATGGACATAAATGGTTTTAGTTTTGTAGGGTGTGGCTCTTACAAGAGTGCCAAAGATAAAAGTTGTGATAATAATCGGTGGTGCGAAATTTAGAAGTCCATCGATTGCTGATAAGGCTTATTGGTCATTAATTCACTGCCCATCCGTTCACTTCTTAGGTAATTCGTGCTCGATTTTCTTTATGTGGAAATTTTTTCCAATGGTATCTATGTGGTGCAATGGCTTGTTATGGATTGTTAGTCAAAATGAACTATTGATATGGATTGTTAGTCAAAATGAACTAGAAATTTGTTTGAAACACAAGGTGTAAGTTTTAACTAATAGAAAAAGAAAAATTGTTGCCATGGTTTGTAAGTATTTATCAATTTTACAAAATTTTGTACCATAAAACAGGGGATCAAGATTTCTTGAAGCAATATGGCACCGAACTTTTGGATTCATTTGTAGAGCCTGTTGTGATTCGGCATCCTAAGGGCCACACGATACCGAGATTTGGTAATTCGATCGAACCTTACCTCTCATACATGCTAACTGTGTTTGTTGTGTTTAGAGAACTCAACCTAATTGGATTTTTGTCTTTTTTTGGCAGATGAAAATGGATTGGAGAGCATGCTGAGCTTTATTGAGAAGATGCTAAAGAATGATAAAGAGGAGGAGGAACAAGAAATTTGCTTAGAAGGTGCTGCTTAGGGATGAGGGGAACTGAATGGGCCGGGCCGGGCCATGGTGCAGCATTTCCTTAGCTTTGCTGGGCTGGGCTGTGCTAAATGGGCACTAATGTCAGTTCTTCTTTGGATTGTAATTGTTGACTGCGAATTAGAATACATTTTACTTTACTATGTCTTTTATTTTTACTTATTCGATTTGTCTTGTGTTAGGTAAACCTGTCCATTATACCCACATACTACTTTTTGTGTTATTTTTGACATATATATTTACTTATA